TTTTAGCCATGACAACAAGGTCACAAYTTTCCAGCAGAACAGGGCTTCCARYTCCTGTTTACTGCCCAYGCTGTGTGCATTGCTGCAAAGGCACCTCAGCTGCGCTGTCAGCAGTGCAGTCTTTCTAGAGCAGCACCCCTTAATTCTTCTGAGATACTTCTATGGTGTTTCTCCGTTGGTTTCTCTTACCTCAGGAGTTTCTGGCTCATCTCTGTATGACTGCAGATGTGCAGTTCAGCACAGTTCAGTGTCTGAGGGCCCTTGTCAGTACCCTGTTCCTCTAACCTTTGCCTCTCATCCCACAGCTTGYCAGGGACAAGCTTGATATTGTCCCGTGCCCCCATCACATCTAATTTAAAGTTCTGCCAGTAAGCCCCACTAGTCCCCAAGCAAAGAAACGCCTTTCTCACTGAGAAAGGTGAGTCCCATCTGATGCCAGCATTTGTAGTGCTGTGKGAGCCTTTCCAATTTTAAAAATCAGCTCAGTTGTTTAGAGCATAGTGCTGATAACGCCAGGGTCAAGGGTCTGATCCACATACAGGMCATTTTCTTAACAATTGGACTCACTGATACTTCCGGGTCCCTTCCTRGTGAGAATATCATGTGATTCTGTGCTCTCTAAACAGGCTGGGCTTTGTAAATAGTAAGTGCCACAGCATATTTCCTCTAAGCATGATCATGGCTAGACCTTCGTGTTCCTCGATTCCTTCTACCTTGAGAGTCCACACAGATTTCAATGAAAACTAACTTCTAGTAATGCCCAAAATTATGCTGTTAYGTAAAATTGGTACTTCCCTGCCAGGGGAATCAGAGATTTTCTAGCACTTTAATAATAATGTCCTGTCAGACCATGCTAGATTTCTTATGTGACAAAAACTAATAGAACAGTTTCTTCTGTAGCCACAGAACCAGCAAATACTCTGTTGTAGAAGAAAACTAAATTAGGTAGACACAATTTGTTTTTAACCAAAATCCTACTCACCGCACTACATGCTGGAAGTTTACAAACAGGCTTTTATGGTTCCTGAGTCTGTGGMATGGAAGTCATCTCCTTCAAACTGTAGTCTTTCTCAGCTCGCACTGTGTTTAACTGACAGCCCGGAGTATAGCAATACAAGATTTCCAACCAACCTCTCGGGGGAGTTTCTGCCTTGTAAGGTTGGAAAAAAGCTTTGATTTCTCTGTGTTACACAAGAGAGTACTTCCTCTGTCTTTGGAACAGAAGCATGTGAAATTCCTTCTGTGTGCAAGTGGCTCCTGATGCGGTAGCTGGTACAAACTACAGTGAAAGCTAATCCAGAACCTGAGCACTGCTTTGATTTCCTTCCTGGATAAGTTCTCTGTTATTTTAACAGCTTGTGTCAGAGGCTGGCTTTTCCACCCATCTTTTGCACAGCTTGCAGAAAATTACCTCCAAGGCGCTTGCCTCTGTCAGATTTGGACAAATTAAGCCTGGAGCTCTGAAGCTCTCAGAGAAATGTAGTGGAACAACGAAGCTCCTCTTGTTTCCATGGGAAACCATGCCCATAAATTCCAGATAAGAGCAGACTGAGTGACACAATACATGAGCCAACCCACCAGCTGTTCTTGAATTTTTAGCAGCTACAGACATTAAGTCCGAGTAACATCCTTGAATTATAGCTACGCTTTCATGCAAAAGCTATTTCAAGCTTGATTATAATTGTTTATGAGGATCCATGAATGTCTTTAAAATGGTCTTTTAGATGAAGTGAGAGGAACTATGGTAAAAGGGTAGTAGGAGGGGAGGAGCAGGTGCAAAGCTACTATATAAATACAATCTCASTCCCCAAAATCAGAAGCGCAGTCTTAGATAACAGACACTGAAGATTCCCACTTTTTTCTCCCAGATATACTCTGACCCAGTTTTGTCTATTTGTAGAAATACRGGCCACCCATTTTTAGCCATTTCTTGCTACTCGTCTTTGTTGATTCATGGGCTTGCTGTTTACAAATATTTGTTCTAGTTGCAAACATCAGTTTGATATGCAAAGTAATCACTATCTCACTAATAAATGGTCTTCCATCTAATGCAGTCTCCCTCCTCCTTAGAAAGTCAGAATTACTTATATATCTGTAAGGGAGAAAATATCCTTACTATACTTCATGGCATTATACTGGCAGCTGCATTCTTCTCCACGAACATGATATACAAAAAAGCAAACAATATTTAATCCAAATACAGTTTAATGCTGCAAAATACTACATGTTTTCCACAAATATTTAGTATACAGAATTCAATGGAGATGGGAAAAAAACCCAACCACTCCTTATGTGCTTGTGTAGTACTTGTTGAGTTTTTAATGGCAGTGAATTGGACAAATGTTTGCTACCACCGAAAACTAATTCTTTCCTAAAAAACCTGAGGTTTAAAGTAATGAGGGATATCACATGCCAATGTTTGCAATATGCTCAACACAGCATTGCATCTCACCAAATACTCTGAAATACTAACTGAACCTAAACACTAGGAATTAACTTACTTCCTGCCAGCAGGCAAAGAGAGCATTCTGGGACTTTAAAATCTGCAGGTGTACATAAATTACTTTATACTGCAATGTAATACAGCTTCTTGTRCATACTCTTTTCATCTGAATGACCCAGTGCACAAACCCTTCTGTATGCCAATCACATACTTCTTTAGGTACTAATACTATTGTGGAGGTGCAATCTGTAAAGCTGTGAGTCTTGTGAAAAATGCATGGTTTTTATTTTTTTAAATAARTGTAGCTATTTTCAGAACATATAACTTAGTACTAATTTAATTGTAAAGTGCAGTAGCTACATCTAAAAGTGGTGAGCTGCCGSTACAGTGGAATACTCCAACCAGTTCAACAGTGAAGCTTTGAATAACACATAGTTCACAAAAATCTCTGTTCAAAAAACCTTTGTTCACAAAATCTCCTATGAAGAGTAAAAATGCTAAAGATTAAATAATAAAAATACAGGAGATTATTCTTGGCCTGTATCTGCATTCATTTACTTCTTCAATAGCTGAAAGCCCAACTGAGATTTTTTAAATTCTAAAATTACTTCYTTGTGAGGAGCCAGACTCTGTAGAGCAACTGAGAGCAACTGACACCAGACTGACTAGAGCCCTTTGAGTCAGAGGTTGCTTTCAGGAGAAATATTAAGTAGAAAGTCTCCAGTCATTTTGAATAGTACATTATGTCTGCGGTCATTAGGTTCCCAAGCAATACTGAAAATAACTTACTTACCATAACATAATAATTTAGCAAAAGYTTTCAAAAAGTCTTACTCAAATTAGGGCCATATTAGGCATCAGAAAACTTAGCTGGGTTCCAGCCAGCAATCCTATCTGTATAAAGATGTATTTATATAACTTTCAATACCTGAGAAGTGTTTGAAGATGAGCATTTTGTAATCAGGGAGRGAGGAAGGGAAAGGACAAAACARAGAGTAACAAACATTACTACATAAWTTTTTACAAACAGATTTCATACAAAAACTGTATCATGGTGTGTCAAAAGATGTTTCAATTCTACTAGCAAGTGGTATAAATATGCACTGCTCCATTGGAAAGATTTTGCTGCCTTTTATGATTTGGCAGTCATCTCATAGCATTCTAYTTACTCACTTTGAAGTCTCATGAAGAAATCGTATCTCCCACTAACAATTTGTTTCAAGAGTAACAGCATACACTTTACTTCTTGCTTTCTAAGCATAAATTTGAACATARAAGTTTTAAAGGTTTTAAAATGCTTGAAAATTAATTCACCTCAAAGTTCTTGCTAAAAGCCACTTTCATAAAGATGATACAGTATAGAGTACATTTTTGCATTGATAAATAACAAGTATGAAATCATATTTCATGGTCTAATACTAAAAAAGGAAATAACACTTATTAATAAAAGAAAACATTCAAAGCTTTAACCWGCTTAGAGTTCTGAAATTACAGTTCTGAAGGAATGTGAGTAGACCTCTTTTTCTCCAAAACTGCACCTATTAGCAGCTACAATTCCTAGTATTTGAAAAACATGCCTGCACCATTTATTTTTAAATGGGYTTAGGATTAATTGCTTGCAAGAACTATGCCTTTCCTGAATCTCAATACCAATAATCTTAGCACTAAATGGACCTAGACATCCCTTATCTTTATAAAATGGACTGAAAACAAACAGAAAATCTGAATCTTTTGCAAGAATATAAGACTCAATATCACATCTCATTGCTCACTGAAATCTAGGTCTTCAGCTYGCTTTTAAGTAGTTACCTACTTTCTTCCTAAGTATAATCAGTGAAGCACTGGACTTTTTTTTTATATCACTTTGCAATGCATTGGTGAGAAGTCAGCTCTCAAATTAGATGTGCAGCTAGGCATCTATGAGTTTTTATAGTTTAATCACACTGTGAATCCATGCTGACCTGAGATCTTACTGAAGTTCTAGTTCACACTTCTGTGAGTGTTTAGATGTCAAATTCAAGACCAAACTTGTCTGAAGAGGTAGAGAGGAATTTCTGTGACATTTCTGTAAGAAGAAATATGCAGCATACAAGTATTCACAGGACAGTGGAAATACAACAAAATCCTTGAACTYCTACCTAGTTTTAGGGACTTCTATCATATCCCTCCACATTTATACTGCCTAATTGCACTTACACAGTTACCCAGCTGAAAACACTGGTCTCCTGCTGTACTTGGGGAAGCAACCATGTATTCTGTGATATCCAAAGCAATGCACAGCCTGGATGCCTCATCAGGCTGTGAGAACCATGGGCTTTGAGCACACTCTTGTGGCCATATGCCACACGCACACTAAAATCAGATCTAAGAAGGACACAAGATGGCATGTAAGCATCTTGGACTGGCTTCTTTGCAAAGAAAGTTACAAAAGAGGTGAMTCAAGCACCAGAGATGATCTACTGCAAAAAAAGATCAATTCTTTACCCTGGTGTTTGAAAGGAGCTTTTATCGAGAGAAATGCTACATCAAGAACATAGTGCAAAAAACAGAGAAGCCATTTGTTACTTTAGTGTTCAAGTGTCCCCATGCTCCCCTCCCTCTCTCCTCTTCAGAGAGGAAAGAACACATATCCCTCTTCTTCCTATGACACCTGAAGTGCTGCCCATCTTAGAAAGAAGAGAAAATACAATACTAGAAATTTGTCATTATATAAATATTGTCCGTGCTGRAGTATAAATTGAAAATCCATCCCCATTCCATGGCTTCATGTAATCTTCACAGATGTTTTCTTGTGTGCGCAGAGGAGGGTGACATAGGGAACTCCAATGAATGCCCACCTTTCACTGGGCCAGAACTTTATGACAGGACCCTGCTCAGGGATCTCAGAGGCAGCATCAAAGTAAGCAAAGCAGACACATCCCAGATATGCCGCAAGACAAATCAAAATGTGCCTGAGAATAAACACCCACACACCAAGAAAGGAAAAAAAAATAGAAAAAATAAATCAGTAACAGAAATTCAGTAAAGCAATCAACTCTATCACCGTAATTTAAAATCAGTCTGTCCTTTTTGCTGTCTTCTCACAAGCATCCCACAGGACTGCTGTCTGTCCTTTGTTTGGAGGCAAAGAATATAGAGAACAGGGAAGACTATGTAATTATAGTTTATCCCTGGTCTAAACAGGCTCCAGATTTTGGCTTTTCTGCACCTGACAGATTTGTGAAGAAATGCTGAGATATGGCACCTCAAATAAGTAACCACARTTTGCTGGGTGGTAAAAGAAAAGGCATCAGAGCCTTTCACTGCTCTTCCACTTCACCATCATTAATTAATCACTAATCCTCATTCATCATGGGGATTACCATTGTTATCAATAGCAGTTTAAGTTTTCAGAGTTCACAGCTATGGTATTTAGYAACCAGTATGGCAAGGAATTGAGTTACAATTAATGAACCTAGTGCCTAAAGAATCAGACCAGTCCAAAGAGACTACTAAACCTGCCACCTTGAAAAGCTTGAGACTTGCTCCAGGCTAGTAAAACCTTACCATTTATTCTGTCTAGAACTAACCAGAAACAGGCAGGATAGAAGGGTAATGCATGGGAATGGATCACATTTGAATCAAACACTGGACTTAATACACAGTACTTACCATACACAATGCAAGTAGGGGAAGTTAAATGAGGACCAGATCTCACAAAATGCTTTGTCACTTATCCAGCAGAAAAGTGCTAGCATCCACCAAAGACCTGAAAAGAGACCTAGTTTGTATACACGCAGGTTTTCACACCTAAAGAGAAAAACATAAATAAATTGTTATAAAACAATGCCAGACTCAAATCATTARAAATGACGCCTCCACAAATGTCCTTAACAGATGAACTTCATTTGCAGTAAATCTGGCTCTGATGTAAGGCAGTAGTAAGGTAACAAAACAAACCTTTTTACGAGAAGCTGTGTTTTTGGCATTGTCTTAAATATAAATGTGCTAATGGTGGGCAAACAACAAGCTATTCCTATCCCTAGGGATGGRTACTGTTGACAACTAGTGATTAGTTTTTTGGTTTGAGATAATGTTTTTAGAGAGAAATTTKATGGGATGTTTTTTTGAAGTGATAAAAAGTTTGATAATTCTTTTTATTAAGATGAAATAGATGTTTGGGTGAATGTGAAGAGAAAAATAGTTTAATAATAAAAAAGTTATTTATAGAATATAGATAAAAAAGTAACTGTTAGATTTTAAAAGTTTAGGAATGTATGGTTTTTTTTTACAGTTGTTCAGTATGTGGTGTGGGGAAAGATGGTGTGGTTGYTTTAGGGAAAAATGAAATAAAGGTTTATGTGGTTGTTTGGGTAATAGTGGGAATTTGGTGGTAATTTTTTTTTTATTGTGGATGAAATAGAGGGTTTGGTGTGGTTTTTTTGTTAGTTTGATTTTTTTTTGGAGTTTGGGATGAGATGGAGTGGTGTTTGTGGCTTGTTTTTGTTGAGTTTTAGTTGATGGTAATTGTTTTTTGGTTTTTGGATTGAAGTTTTCTTGAATTGTTTTAGAAGAAAAATTATAGGAGTTGTGGAAGGGGTGGTAGTTTAGGGAGAGTTGTTCATTTAAATTAATAAATTTGAGTTAGTTAAGTAGTAATAATKTAATTGTTTTGTATGTAGTGGGGTGAGTTTGGTTAGTTGAGCTTTTAAAAAGTTTAGTGCATGTGGTAGTTTTGGGTTTTAATTTTGTTGTTTTTTTAGGGTTTTTTTTGTTTGTTTTTTGGGTTGTATTTAGAGGTATAAGTATATTTTGGGTATATAAGTAGAYGGAATATAGGAATAGAGTAGTATTATAAAGTTAACTTATTTTATTTTTTATATTTGTTGGTTTAATGTTTAAATTAATATATTTTAATTTTAAAGATACATATATACATATATTTATATCAAATAGTGATAGTGATATTTAGTAAGTAGAAATTATAGGTATTTTAATATTATAAGTGGTTTTTATGTAAAATTAAATTTTTTTGAGGTACATAATGAGTTTTTTTGGTTTTTTATATTATTTATTATATGTAATTTGGTTTTTGAGTAAAGATAATTTTATGGATGGGTTTGTTTTTGTTTGAGGTAGAATTAATTTAGTTTTTTTTAAACAGATTTTTGAGATATATTGTTGGGATTTTKTTTTTGTTTATTGTATGTAGGGGTTTAGATTGGGTAGGGTTTATTATTTAGGTAGTCTTYGTTAGATGTTTTTAGTTTTTGAAAGTTTTTTTGTTTAGTGTTTTTAAGGTGGGTTTTAGGGAGTGTTGAACTGTTTTATTTTGTTAGTAGTAGGTATATGGTAAGGGATATGGTATATTTCCTTAATGTTATGTTTTTTAGTTTAGGTGTTTATAAGGCTGCTTTTGAAATGAGTTTTGTTGTTGGATTTAATTTTTTGGGAGGTATTTGCTTTTAAAAGATTTGTRTTTTGAGGTTTAGGATTGTGTTATGGGTAGTGGTGAGAGTTATAGGGTAGGTTTTTAATTATTTAGTGGTGRTTTTTAWTATTATGAGTATGTAGTGTTTGCTATGATGGGCAATATGGGGTAATATGATGTAATTAATTTGTTAGGTTTTATTATATTTTTGTTTTATTTTTTTATATTATAGGGGTTTTATTTATTTGGTTTGTTTGATGGTAGTGCATGTTTTATAGTTGTGGATAATTTGGGAGATATTGTTTATGGTTAGATTTAWTTTTTTGGTTTTGTGTTTATATGTGGCATTTTTGTTTTGGTGTTTTGAGGTATTATGGGTTTATTGAGTTATGAATATTTTTTTTATGTTGTTAGTTTAAGTTAATTCGGGATATTTTTATTTTTGTAGTTTGATTTATTTGTTGCTTTTTGGTGTTTTTTATTAGTTTGTTTTTTGGGGATATGGGTATTTATATGGTGGATTTTTATAGGCAATTTTTTTTCATTTGGGTTATAATGGTTTTTTTTTATTTTTTAGTAGTTTAGATTAGGGTTTTTTAATGTAGTTAATTGGTTTGTTTTCATTTGTTTAGTTATTTTTATAAAGTGTTGGTTATTATTTATGAATTGGCGTAAAGGGAGAGTTTTGGTCTTTTTTTTTGGTAATGTTTAGGTTTAGTTAGATGGTTTTCAGTTTAGTGAATTGATTTTTTTTGTGGTTTGTGTAATTTGTTGTGTGGGGTTTTACATGTTTGTTTTTTTATTTTTGATTTATTTTTATAATGTGATAGGAATTGTTAGTGACGAGAGTGTAGTGTTTATTTTTTGTTGGTAGTTGGTTGTATAATGGGCTTTTTTAATTATGTGTTATTTGTTTATGGGTTTTTTTTGTTAGTAAGATTAAAGTTTTCATTTTTAGGTTAATTTGTAATTATTTTTAGGATTTTAGGGTGATTTTAGTTGAATTTTTTACGTGAGTGTGTCCAGTAATGAGAGAAATTTATTTGKTTTAGGTAGTATTAGTGGTATGTTGGGTAGAGGGGATTTTAGTTTTAAATATTTATTTTAGTAGTTGGGGTGCTAGGAGGAGTTGTGTTTTAGTTTTAATTATTTTTGAAGTGGTTTGGATTTTTTTTATAGGTTGTTAAGATTTTATTTTTGTTGGTGTGTAATTGGTTTTAGATTTTTCGTAGTTTTGGTTTTTGAATTTTAGTGGTTGGTTTTGAGTTTTATTAGATATTTTTTGTTTTAGGATAGATTGCTGTTTTTGGCTGTAGAGTATGATTTTCGTTTTTGGTTTTGTTTTGATTAGTTAATGGTTATTATATTATTATATTATATTATATTTTTTTGTTTGATTTGGTTGAAGGTTTGTTGTTATTTAGGGTTTTAATGGAAATTAGTTTTTTTTGTGAGTTATTAGGTAGAGAGGGTTTATGATTTGGTTGTATTTGGGGATGTGTATTTTTTTAAAGTTTATGGTGTTTAGGAAAGTTTGTGGGTTTTTTGTTGGTTGGTGGAGATACTGATGTCATTTTATTGATGATTTTGGTGGGGATTTGATGTTGTTTATTTTGTTATTGTATTTTTAGAACTTGGATTTTTTGAGCAGTTTTTTTATGGTAAAGTTGGTTTTTAGGAGAATTTGGATTTTTTTTAAAATATTTTTGTTGTGTTTTTTTTATATAATGATGTTATTAATATATTGAAGAAATTTCGGAGTTTGTTTTTCTTTAGTGTGGTTTGGATTAGTTTATGGTAAATGGTAGGGCTGTCTTTTTATTTTTGGGGTAGTTGGTTTTAGGTGTACTGTATTTTTTTAGGTGAAAGTAAATTGTGGTTTGTATTTGGTTGTTAGAGGAATGGAGAAAAATGAGTTGGCAATGTTAGTGGTGGTATACTATTCTGTTGTTTTGGACTTTAGTTTGTATTGGAGCTTTAGTATGTTTGGTATTGTAATGTTTAGTGGTGGAGTTATTTTACTTAAGTTATGATAGTTTAAATTTTTTTTTTAGATTTGTGTACAGGTTAGATGGGGTTGTAGAAGGGTGAGTGGGTTTTATTAATTATTTTTTGGTATTTTAGTTTTTGGATTATTTTATGGATAGGAATTATAGTATTTTGGTTTGTTTTGCATTGTTTGTGGTATATTGTTGAGGTAGTGATTGGAATGTGTTGTTTTTTTTATTTTTAGGAGTTTAATTGCAGAAGGATTTTTGGATAGYTTAGGTAAGGTGTTTAATTGTTTGATGTTGTTTGTTTTTATAGTAGTTATTTTAAAGGTTTATTTGAATTTTTTTTGTTTTTGAAATATTTATTTTTGGAAAAGGTTAATTTTAGGATGTRTGGGTTTTTTGATTGGTTACAATAGGATTTTTTTTTAGTTAGGTTTATTCTTTCTAGTTTTTATTAGAGTTAGGTTTTGTGATTTTTTTTGTTATGTTGGTAATAGAAGTAGATTTTGTTTTTATATGCTGTGATGRAATTAGTGTGTATTGTGTATTAGTGTTAGTTAAGGTTTTGTATTTTTGTGGTTTTGTTGTGTTAGGTTAATGAATTTATATAATTTAAAAGGTACGGGTTTTTTTTTTTTATTTGATTAGAGGTAGGGCTTTTTAATATTGGTTGGGGCTTTTTTCTGGATATATATTGGAGAGGTTTTTTTTAGGGGATTGGATATGTTATTTTGTTTTTTGTTATGTTGGATAGTTTTGTTATGGGAAATTGGAGGGGTTTTTTTGGTAGAGTTTTTTTGAGTGTTTTTACTTTTTAATTTATGTATTTGTGTTGTTAGGATAGAGGTGGGGTTTTTTTGGTTTTTTTTATGGTTTTTTATGTTTAAGTAGGAAAAATTAGAGGTTTGTTTGTGGAGTGTATTTTTTTGGTTGAGGGATGTTTGTTTTTGGTGATAGAGTTTTTGGTTTGTATTGATGTGATTTGGAGAAGGTTTTTTAAWTTTTTTTTTGAGTTGTTGATTTTTTTTTAAATTTTGGGAGGTTTTTCTGTATGTTTTGAGAGGTTTGTCTTTAATATTGAGATTTTTGTTTGTGTTGGGTTGTGAATAGTATTTGTATATGTATGAAGTTTCTTTCTTATACTAACTATGGTTTTATTTTTTTAATTGTATTTTATTATTGTTAAAGTAGAGGTATATTTTTGTGGTTTAAGTTGTATGAGTTTTAGTTATATTAGCTGTGTATATTTTATTATGTTTGGATTTTTGTTTGGTTATTTTAGAAAATGATCTTTAATATTGTTAGTTTTTATAATTATTTAATTTTCTGTTTTATGGTTTTTTATAAGGTTTGTTGTTATTGGTAGATATTTTGGGTATATGAAT